AAAAAAAAAAAAAATTAGATGATACAAATAAGAAATGCTGAATTCACTCTTAACGTCCTCTTCTGCATGTCAAGCTGCAGAATCAGTCGGTCAGCGGGAACCAAAATCTGAGCACATTCCTGCGCTAAGTGGAGATTGACCCCGTGCCAGCAGTCAGCAGCCCAGCCTCTCCCCACTGCCTACCCCGCCAGGCGCTGACCCAGCAGGATTCAGCAGCCTGGAGGAAAGCTGATGGCAGAGGGGGCTTGAGGGCACCAGCCAGCAGCCAGCGGCTGGACTAAATTCTTTGGGGTGTCTAAAGTACAGTGTGGGCTTTATTGAGCACCCCGCAAAAGCAAAGCAGAATTTCTTTCTTGCCTCTTGCGTACCTTCAAAGGTTTTGTGGAATGCCGTTTATACCGTTTCCTGCCTACCTCTCCATTGCAAAGAGGAAGTTTTGCCTCGGGTCTCTAACAAGCCGTAGTGCACTAAGCAGTACAGCAGTGGAAGAAGGGATCTCAAAAACACCCTCATTAATCAGTACAAGTTGACTCCTGCAGCAAGGCAGGAGTCCTAGATCTAGGAGAGAACACATACCTAGGGCATAATCAACCGAAGTCAATAACTCTGTTTCTATTTCCGTGGCCTTCCTCCGCACCACTCCCGGGATAACTATGGGTCTGTGTGTTTGAACTGAGATCCTGGGGCAAGGACTCATCCTACCTGGTGCATGGGAGTTGGGAGAGAATCCCAGGCCTCTCTGATTAGAGAAGTTGATCACACTTCTAAGGAGATGGCAGGTGCCGTCTCCGTGTCTCAGGCAGTGTGAAAGCTCACGCTGAGCTCAGGTGTCAGCACGTAATAACCATGGGGTTATAATTGCAGCTACAGAGAGGACAATCAGAGCAATGGCCTCCTCTTTTAGTGGTGGCCCAGGCTGCCTGATTATCTGGGCAGGCACATGGGCAAGCCAGGGGGCAGCAGGGCTGGAGAGTGGTGCCTCCTGAGTTTCCCCAGCAGCCTTTTGATGGCTGTCCCTGGAGAATCACAGTTTGTGAGGAGGTTTATGCCAGAGGCTGGATTGTCCTCACTCTGATGAGTGCAGAGCTGTAAAGAGCCCAGCTCAAGGGGGACAAGAACCCAAGCAAAAGAGACGTCCCCCCACTTGTGCGGAGACGGCCTGTGGATTGCACCTGCTCCCCAGGGGCGAGCCTGTCTACCCCAGGACCCGTCCAAACGTGACGCTCTTGGGGGCCTCTCCCAGGAGAATTTCCTCAAATCTGAACTCCGTCAAAATCTCTATATTGTCCATACTAGGACCTGTTATTGTTCTAAAGTTGACCTGGGTAGACTCCCTCACTAGCACGGTGTGCATTGAGAGAGCCCTTTGAAGGTGCTTTAGCAATGGAAATCAGAGGCACAAACATTGTCCTCTGGAATTCAGTAAACTTGGCATTGGGACATCATCAAAGGCAACAACCTGAAAGGTGGGAAGAAGCCTCGTGCACGGGAAGCTCATGGCAGCATCCGTACCAGCAGGGCCACAGAGCTGGCTGCCACTGCCATCTGCTGCCTGTCTGATGGCACCCTCTCCTGCTTTTTTGCCTGAATCCAGAGGTGGTGATAACAGTACCCACCGCACAAGGCTGTTGTGAGCATCCCCAGAGTTTTACAGTGCGCAGCAGGTAGAAAATGCCACACTGGTGTGGGGGCAAGTGGCGGATTCAGCAAGATGTTGGCATGAACCCAGAAGTCCATCGGTGACCAAACTGCCAGTAAATGTGGTATATCCATTCAGTGTAGCTGTTTAAAACAGAAAGATGTATATTTCAAAAATTAACATTAACCGCAAAACTGCTGGAGAACAGTGATCGTCTCTTATCTAGGATTATGTAGCAACATAGAAAACTCAGTCGGGTGACCAACTTTGGCTCAGGTCATGATCTCACAGCTCATGAGTTTGAGCCCTGCAGTGAGTTCAAGCCCCAGTTTGGATCCTCTGTCTGCCTTTCTCTCTGCCCCTCTTCCTCCCCTTCTCTCTCTCTCTCTCTCTCTCTCTCTCTCTCTCTCTCTCCCCAAATCAAAGATCTTTAAAAAAAAAAACTTAAGAAAACTATTATAATGTTTTGTTTTTTTTTTAATTTTCTTAATGTTTATTTTCTTGAGAGAGGGAGACAGAGCGCAAGCCGGGGAGGGACAGAGAGAGGGAGACACAGAATCCTAAGCATGCTCCAGGCTCTGAGCTGTCAGCACAGAGCCCGACACGGGGCTCGAACCCACAAACCAGGAGATCATGACCTGAGCCGAAGTCGGACGCTCAACCGACTGAACCACCCAGGTGTCCTGATACAATGTTTGGGTTTTTTGAAAGCATAGCCAACTTTATGTTATTATGGAATAAAAATGATATCTGGGTACCTATGTATGAATCAAGACCAAGAAGAGAAACAAATTATTTTTCATTGTTTTAGAATTCCGTGAGTTGGGCTAATGTTGGCTGCATAATGATGATTCAGAAATCCTCTTGTACAACTTTTCTGTTGAAGACAGTCGTTGTAACTTGAGTCTTCTTGCCCGGTTCTGATGCATTGCAGGTATTAACCATGGGCCTGTAATAGCCGGTGTGATTGGAGCTCAGAAGCCACAATACGATATCTGGGGCAACACCGTGAATGTGGCCAGCAGGATGGACAGCACCGGCGTGCTGGACAAAATACAGGTAATCTAGTCTGCTCCGTCATCACGGGCCAGGTCTATCCTCTTCGAAGTCATAAATGAGCATCATCATAATGACAATGATGTATTAGAACAAAGAATCTTGGTAGTTACTTCAATGGTGAAAAGAACCTGAAATCAACATAAGTCTTTTTTATTGGGGAAATGGTCATCCGTTTCTGCACTCGCCGTTAACAATACTTGAGAAACGTAATAATGTAAAGGTTATAGCTTTGGAGGAAGTCGACGATGGCCAACGATCAACATGGCAGTCTGACACCTGAGCGAGTCAAGGCTGGCCCCTTCTCTCCTCTTCCATCTCCTGGCACCAGAACCTTGAAGGGAGCCCTGCAAGGGAGAGGGATTGTACCACCAAAACCAGACAGAGCCCCCAGACTTCCCGTCCCAGAGGCTGAGTTGGAAGGAGGCAGAAAGGAGCCGACTGGGGAAAGACGAGGGACGAGATTCAGGGTGATATGAAATGGCAACGCCAAATCGGGCCAGCATGGGATTTGGATATGGAGAATGACGGACGGCACTGGAATCCACGCAGGGGAGGTTGCTCGGGCAGAATGCCACACACCTGGAAGGAGAGACCGACCTCTCCTAATGAGAAGAACATGTGCACGTGTGTGTCTGTGCAGAACTTTCTATTCGCCACTCCCTCAAAACGCAGTGATTCCCCATTTCACCCCAGATTCCACGCTTCACTTCTGGAAGATAAATTCCTGCCAAGTGGCAAATTCGTGTGAAAACCACTGGACGCAAATAAGAAGCTTTTTTTCTCCCCCCCACCCCCAGGAATTCGACAAGTCCCTGTTCTGTGTGCCTTGGCTTGACCCCTGTCCTCAGGTAACCTTGCCTCCTAACATTCCGATGGAGATTTAGAGTTCTTTTCTGAAATTCTGCCGAAGACACCAGCTCCAGTGCTATCAAAAGCGGGCTTCTCATTAAACTTCTGCCTACTTGCTTTTCACACTCTTCACCTGCCTCTGCTTCTGTGAACCTTCTATAGCATATCTTTAATCTTTGTATGGAACGGGGCCTATATCTCACCTTCTTCCCACCGGATGACTAGTCAGCAGTTGCCAAAAGTAAGCAACAGAGAACGGGGAGAGATGGCAGGCGATGTGGGGCGGAGAGGAACGTGTGGGGCTTCCCAATCAGACCCAGACGTTGCCAAGGGAAAAGAGTCAGCTGGCTGTGCTCACGAGAGCCAACCCAGACAAAGCTCTCACCAGAAACGGGGCTGGAGCGGTCGTCACGGTGTGTGGAGATGGCCTAGATGCCCACCACGAGAGGCGCGGTCTACCACCTTGGCACCTCGCTGACCCGTGCCATGACGGCACCACGGCCTCGAGGGCTTTCTGCCTGCGTGTCATTAGCTGTTCCTGATGCCCCGGGGATGTTCCAGCGATCCTGTACAGCGTGGGGTCTTGTGTCTGGTGTGGGGAGAGGGTGCTCCTATCAAGGACACACGTTCCCAACCTGCAGGCCAACCTAGCCCCCCCCCCCAATCCCTTCCCACACCTGGAACATTCAGAAGACATGTTTCACGACTCTCCAAGTGGTTTTCAAGCATTTGGGATACGTATCAAAACCCATTTAAGACAGGCTGTTCAGAGAGAGTGCTCCCTCCTGGAGGTCGTAATCCCCTGCAGGTCAGTGTTTGAAATGAGCTAGAGCTCCCATGTCTCCGTCTCCAGGAGGATATTGGGCCTCATAAAACTCCAGGTGATTTAGTGCTGAGCAGCGCCCCCTGGAGGGTCTCTGTGCACCCGGAGCCCGGAGGAGAAGCCCCTCCGCGTGTGTTCACTCAGCTCAGCCGCCGGAAGGCTTGTGTCCAGCAGGTTCCTTCTCCTGAGGCCGCAGTTCACTCCGTCTCCGGTAGCTTCGCATTTCCACTTACGTGCAAGGAAAGTAGTGAGACGCCAGGAAGAATCAGAAACGATGCCGAGATCGTTAAAAGCTTCTCCCGGGCCTGAGGAACAGGTCCTTTTGATTAAAGAACATCCACGCCCACCACGCTTTCCAGCCTGGAAGCTCACAGAACACTGGAGAAAGCCCGCGTGTCACCCAGCCAGGCCGCCCCCGGGCTTGGAGGCATACTGGCTGCTGTTCATCGGGGAGACAGCTCCCTCCTCCTTGCTTCACGGTAATTGTGTGGTCGGTGTTCCAGATTCCAAGGGATAGCTCACAAATGCCCGTGGTGATACTTCACACCAGTAAACACCTTGACTGCAGAATTAACCCCCGAGGCTCCAACAGATGTGTTTGTTTTCTGTGGCAGGTCGGAAATCAGACGCCTCTGGAATTCTCTAATTCTGATTATGCTTGAGAACTCTCATCATGAGACCCTGTCTGTAATCTGAGTTCCCGGCTCTGTCCGTATTCCTTCGGTTCTTCCCCAGGATCCAGAGTCCTTCCTGTGCCCCTGGCTTCACCTCCCAGCTACACTTGTCCTTCCCCAGGACTTGGGCTCAAGCTAGCAAAGGACAGGACATGAACATACGGCACCTGTGACCCTCTTTTCTTGCTCTGGTCACAAGGGTCCCGAGGACCCACACATTGGCCCCTGTGCTAGGGGCTGGCCATGGAGTCAAAGTACAGGGAGGGTGGTTTTTCCAGCTCTTTCCAACAGCCTACCCTTGAGATCTTTATATGGCACCCTTCACCCTTGCTTCTGGGGGCCTCTGGATATCTCCCTGGATTCTCATAAGCACAGCCCTCCTATTTCTGCCTCACACCTCTCTCAGCCACCAGGCTCAAGGAGGCTGGCTCACTGCTGCGGCCATTGCCCCCACCACTGCATGGTCCCCCGACGGCACCCACCCCAAAAGCAAAATCGTGTGATACCATTGCTGTGCTGTTCACAAGCCTGCACAGCATGTGGGTGCCACCCACACGGCCAAGGTGGTCGGGTCCCACGGGTGCCATGTTCATCCTCTGATGCAAGGGGAGGAAATCCCTCCTCCTCCCCCTCCTCACCCTCCTCCTCCTCTGCTTTCTCCCCTGCTTTCAGAGCAGCATTACCAGGGGTTTCTGGAAAAAAAACAGCTCCTCCCTCTCTGCTCAAAAGCCAGATACTTCCTGGGAGGCCTGGCTGGGGACTGTGTTCCTGACACGGGGGTCTGCCCTCACTTCTGAAGCTGAGGCCTCTATATTGGTAGCCTAGTCTGTTCTCACCTCACCCATTCTCTGCTTGAGAAAGCGTCTTCAGCAGGAGGCTTCGTCAACACTCAAGCAGACAAATGCCACACAGACCTGAGCTGTCATCCCCAGACACGGCCCCCGAGGAGAGCACGGTGCACGCTCAGGCTGAGATGGGGCAGGACTCGGTACAACCCTTCTCCCCTAAGAGAGAGGGGCCGTCCTACCCGGGAAATTCCTCTGCCATCTGACACAGCGGGACCCGAGGCGATTCGGCAGTGGGGGTCCTGGCCTCGCAGGGCAGCGGCGGGAATCACGTCGACAGGCTGCAAGAGAGGGGCCCGGCCCTGGTCACCTTCTGTGTCAGCTCGGTGAAGGGAGGAAGCTTGAGAAGACCTGACTCAGCATGTCATGCCCGTGCCAAGGCTGGTACAGACCCCTAGTGTCCTTTTAGTTTTGTTCTCGAGCATTCGCCGAAGCAGGGGGCCATTTGCGGGAGCTGACGGTGCTTCTCAAGGTGTCTTCTCCCATCTGAATTAAAATCCATTATTCACATTTATGATTTTGTGAAATGACATTCATGACAGTTTGTAACATCCCACTACAGTATATTTTGATTTACTTTCCCTCTTCCGGGTCTCTCTCTCTCTCTCTCTTTTAGTTTATTTATTTTGAGAGAGAGAGAGAGCAGGAGGGAGCAGGGTAGGGACAAAGAGAGAGGGAGAGAGAGAATCCTAAGCAGGTCCTCACTGTCAGCACAGAACCTGACACGGGGCTCAATCCCACGAGCCGTGAGATCATGACCTGAGCCAATATCAAGAGTTGGATGCTTAGCCGACTGAGCCACCCAGGTGCCCCTTTCCAGGTCTCTTATATGTGAATATGTAACCTTCACGTAGCTGAAGTCATAGCGTGGGTCTGGGCTTCAATTTTTCCTTTGGGGGTGAACAGATCCTGCCTTATTTCCTGGTCTCGGCCACGATAGGGATCATGACAGCATCCTGGTTTACACCGCCCTGAAGATCACTTGACTTTTTAGGTGGTTTAGAGTCTGTCACCGTTGCAGCATGAAATTACGTGTTGTCCCTAAAAGGCTTTTCTTCTCCTGCGTGATTCTGTCTTCTAATTTCTTAGGAGTGGAGTGAAAGGGCCAGAGAACGTGAATGTCTTTTGGCTCCTGATCTTTGCGGTCAAACGACCTTCCGGAGGCTGTGTTTCGTAGGCACTGACCGCTCCTTCATCTGTCCATGTGCTTCTAGGTCACTGAGGAGACAAGCCTCATCCTCCAGACCCTGGGTTACACGTGCACATGTCGAGGAATAATCAACGTGAAAGGCAAGGGGGAGCTGAAGACGTACTTTGTAAACACAGAAATGTCAAGGTCCCTTTCCCAGAGCAACGTGGCATCCTGAGGGGGTTGCCTCCACTTCGGCAAGAAGACTGTACTTCCGGGAAGGTACAATGCACTTTCTGACTGCGAGCTTTGTCTCTCGTTTTTGGTGTGCGTGCTCTGTTGTGTCCTATGGAGCCTTTTCAGACTCGTTCCTCTGACCTGGTGGCATACCATTTGGTGTCTGACGTGTCCCAAGATCGCTCTGCCACTTGCACTGTGCTTACTCCTAAGCAGAAGGAAAAGGAGTGTGTGTTATGGGAGAAATGCGCTCAGAGAATTCACAAAGATGACAGAGGTGAAATAAACAAAAATTCTTAAGGCAATAAAACTAGGGGGTGTATATTATCTTCCAGTGCATGTTTTTTTTTTTTTTTTCCTGGAAAATATGGTAGCTGGCCAACCGCATCCGCTAGTCCGATATTACACAGTATTTGTGAATAATTGATTCCGTCGCCCCACATGGAAGTTGACTGTGTTCACCCAGTGTATCTCATCGCCGGCGGCCATCCACGGGACCCACGGTCCTGTCGCCTTGCTCTGTCGTGTCTCGGGCCAGAGGCGTGCAGCCACCCATCACCAGAATTAGTTCTCATAACCTAGGACCAGTTTTGTACCAAACGCGTCCGACGTTTTGATGCCATTGTCTTTTGTAAGGTTGATTCATTAAAAGTTTTACGTACTTTGGTTTATAGTCTGTATCTTTTCCCCCCTTTTCTTCCTTCTCCTGCGGTTCGCTCCACAGCCGAGCTTGGCTTTCCATCGTCCTGACTGACGGTTGTTTCAGAAAGCGCGCCCCAGGAGCAGCGATTGGGAGATCCTTGGGTAATTCAGATCAGGACAAGGCTTGTGAGGTAGACACTTGCTTCTGCCACTCTCTGGAAATGCTCCGAGCGCCCTGTGGCATCTCTAGAGGATATTTTCTGGGGAAAATGTTGTGTGTGTTTTTTTATTTTTTTAAGGTTATTATTTATTTATTTATTTGGAGAAAGAGAGAGGGAGAGAGAGAATGCAGGCAAGGGAGGGACAGAGAGAGAGGGAGAGAGAGAATCCCAAGCAGGTTCAGCGCTGTGAGCACAGAGCCTGATGTGGGGCTCGAACTCACCAGCCGTGAGATCACGACCTGAGTTGAAATCAAGAGTCGTGCACTTACCCGCACACGCCAGCCTGGTGGGGCACCCTTGGTTTCTGTTCATAGCTCAAGGCAGGCGTGTGTGACAACCGGGGGACCCCAATCTACCAGGAACACCTTGTTCTTGGCAACTCAGACCCGAAGCACCGGGCCCTCGTTGGATTCCTCACTGACCGTTTTCTGGCCGTGCGACTTTGACCACGTCGCTTAATTTCTCTTAGGGGTATTTCTTCATGGGTAGCTTAGGGGATCAGGTGTGACTGAGAGAGCTAATGACCATGCGAGAGCCTGGCAGGTCCCCAGGGCTTTCTCTTGTCGGTGCTATCCTGCCAGGACTCAGGCTCACGTAAAAGCACTTCTCGAAGCTCCTAACTGGCCTTCCTCGCCGAAGTGGGAATATAGCACGATGTGTTCCACGGTCTGCCGCAGTCAGGCAGTGTTGGAGATCTCCAGAAAGGTGACCGGAAGAGGAAACGTAGTATAGGAATGTCTGTTTTCGCTGTCATGGAAACGTGGCCTAGGAGGCCTGGGGTCTCACTGGCTTCAGACCAGCCTCCTGTGTCATTTGTAATAATGGTCATCAGCTGCACCTTGTGGGCCCCTCCTTAGAGCCTGCAGCACCCATCCCAGGGCACGTCACCTCCCCTTAGTGGACACCCACAGCTGGGTGATTTGCCAAGCGCCCTCAAGCGTGGCTTTCTGCACCCACCAGGGATATGCTGAATTTGGTGAAAAGAACTCAAAAGGACAGTTGTTTCTTTCCCCCGGAACTGTGTTCCTAGTCTTAACCAAACAGCATACTTTTCTCTTTTTAATGTTTATTTAGTTTTGAGAGAGCACAAGCAGGGGAGGGGCGGAGAGAGAGGGGGACGGGGGATCCGAAGCGGGCTCCAGGCTCCGAGCGGTCAGCACAGAGCCCGACACGGGGCTGGAACTCACAAGCCTCGAGATCATGACCTGAGCCGAAGCCGGACACTCAACCAGCTGAGCCACCCAGGTGCCCCCCCCTCCCCCAAACAGTACATGTTTTAAAGCAATCAGAGTCATTATCAGAGTCTATCTTGCAGAGGTCTGCACACATACGATCTCTCCGAGTGTGGTCCCCAACCAGCAGCGGCAACACCTCATTTACAGGCCCCAACCCGAGCCTGCCAAGGCAGAGGTCCTAGCCGTGGGGCTCAGCACATGCACCGTGCTTGGATAACAAGCCGTCCAGGCGATTCTGGTCCCCGGCCTGAGTCCCCCTGTGCTTTACAAATGAGGAAACCGGTGCAGTGAGGTCCAGGGGCTTGGCTTGTTCGGAGTCTCCCAGGGATCAGTGCCCAAGACGAGCCTAGAATGCAAACCCACCTGCTCCCTACATCTGAAAGTGTGCCTCCCAGTCAAGGCTCCCTAAGCTCCGGAACTGCACATACTCCTGTGGGCGAACGATGCAGACGAGAGGGCTGCAGCTCACTTAGCCGGCCCAGCGACCTTGGTAGCAAGCAAGCGTCTCTGCTCAAAGCTCTCCCTAACCATCCGTTCTTGCAGAACGCCCTCTCAATACATTTAATTTTCCCTTGATGCCTGATAAACGAGATCTTCTGAAACCTTCTCCAATTCAGGCCCTGCTTGTTGAAAGTGGAAGGCTCAGGGAGTAGGATCTGGCTTAAAGTAACCAGAATTCAGTTTGACACTGATTTATTGTGGTCACGTTCAGATGAAGGCATCTCTTAGAGATGCCTGGTGTTTCTTGGTTGCCAAAGCCGAAGAAAGAGTAGTTTGTAAAAGTTTCCCTACTCCAAAATTTATATACTTTCTATTATATTATTACATACGTGGCTTAATGTACCCAAAGGCATTCCAAATAAACTATTCCTAGTTGTTTGGGGGCGGGGTGTGTGGAACTAATAAAAAACACCTATGACGAAAAAAAATACCATTTTTCAAATGAATAAAGAAACCTGTAGGAGTCACTCAGCCTTGAAATTGTCAACAATTCGGTGTCAAATGCCCTTAGAGCATCAAAACAATAAAACCAGCCATGGGGGAATCAGTATAGAAATTAATTAGATCACCTGCTCATTAACCACTAAGCTGTGGGACATGTAATCACCAGAGGTGAGGGATGATTTCTTTCGAGAGACCCTTTCATTAAAACTATAGCCAGTGTCTTAATACTTGAATAAGTTTCAAATTATCTCCAAAATAAACGTTTCCAACTTGGGTGAGAAGCAGCTGTTCCCAAAATGAAAACGATTCAGAGCAATGGCGCTGGCCTCTTTTGTGCCTCCGTTAGGACCCCGCTCCGGTGGCCCAGTGATCCCCACAAGCACCAGTCAAGGTCTGGAAATCCCAGTCTGAAGATGAGGAAATGTGGGCTCGCCTAGGGGAGATGACGGGCCCGTACCGTGCCGCTGCAAAATGCAGGAGCCCAATCTTGCCCAAGCCTGTTGAACGTCAAAACCCAGTCTCTCTCTTCCCGTGACCTTTGCTTCTCCACTGAGGAGTGACGTCACCTTGCCAGCCATGGGGCCACCCGTCCCAACTAGGGTTTTGCCCTCAATTGTGCAAACTCCTGTTATTTACGGCTCAGACCTGTGTGTGGGGGGAGAATGTTGTATCTGGACTGCAACTGTCCCGAAAGGCGATTTCATTACACCACCTCTTGGAGGAAGGAAAACTCAAGAAGCAGCGTGTGCGCCAATAGGCAACAGCGTTTCCATCCTGGTGAGAGAGGGTGTGCAGGCCCCGAGCGCCTCCCCCGGGAGGCAATGGACAAAGTCACCCGACCGCGATCAAGTGGGAAGTTTTCCTTTTATTCACGTGCCCGCAGTGGCTCAGTCTCGAGCATCATTTCTGAGGACGCGATCCCACGACATGGTGATCACGGGGTCGTCACCGCAGGCCACGTGAGGGAAAGCGGCCTCAGGGCCCGTCCCCCCCCGTCCAGGTGCAAGTGGCTTCAAGCGGGATCTGTGGCCCCCGTGGCGGGGGAAAGAAGGTCCAGGCGCTGCCCGTCTGTGCCATCTGCCGTCTAGGCCACAGCAGGGGCCGTCAGGCTGGAGAAACGTGGCCAAAGCTGGGGCTCTTGATGCCGGGGATGTCGTTCTTCCTGTAGAAGTCCGCCTTCACGAGGTTGGCCCGGCCGTGGTCCCGGTTCAGGGGCTCCACGGGCTGGTGGATGCGTCTCCCGTAGACAGAGGACGTCAGCACTGCCACGGGCCGCTGGCGCTCCTGGCGGGGTGACCAGAACACGGGGTCAGCTCCGCCCACTTGTTCGCACGACCCACGTTGGGTCCTGGAGGCTGTGTCCCCTCGGCCCGCTGCACCCCTGCGTCCAGCACACCCGGGTTCCGTGATGCCACGGGGACCTCCTGAACTACGTCACGCCTGCCCCTTGTGCTCAGAGCCCCTCGTTGTCCCCAAGTCTTTCACGTCACCCAGAGGAAAGGCGAAGACGTGGCACGGGGTGCCACGTGCCCTCTGACCTCAGGATCCGTTCTCCCTCCCGCCCTCCCTCCCTCCCTCCTCCCGCGCTCCCCCTGTCTGCCCGTCTCTCCTCCTGTCTGCCTGTCTCCCCTCCCGCCTTCTCTCTTTTCCCAAATCTTTCCACCCTCCACCTGTCATCTCCCGACTCCCTATCTCCCCAGCACCCCATCTCCCTGGTTCCCTCTTATCTTTCCGGCCCCCTCATATCTGTGACCCCTCATCTCCCTGGGCCCCCTCACCTCACAGCTCCCCAATCTCCTCGCGCTTTCCCTGCCCCCTTAAGAGGCCTCATTTCTCTGCATACCTCCCATCGCCACCTGGAATTCAGTTCCTTATTTGTATGACTTCATTTTTCATTTCCTCATAGGAATGTGAGCTCTGAGAGGACAGGGACATTTGTCTTCTCCCCTTAGGCTCAGTGCAGGGCCGGGGGCGGGGTGGGAGGGGTGCTCGAACTCGGGCCGGGTACAAGCGGGCCAGGCGTGTTCTTAAGACAGGAAAGCAGGAGCCTCACTACCCACTTGGAGTGAATTCACATAAACAAAAACAATAGAAAAAAACTTCATGTCTGTGACTTAAGTAGTAATACTTCAGAGTTCCTCACTTAATTCCACAGTGAAATAAAGTCTCCCTGGAAGTGACCTGGGGCATTCTTTAACAAGAGCAGCCCCAGGCCAAAATCTGCTGGGGTGGGGGGGGAGATCCCACTGGAGGCTTCTCCATTCTGATTTCTGAGTATCGTATTAAAGCTGATGATATTTACTCAGCACCCGGCTCTTTGTAAACACACTGTCCTCAGATCAGACTCCGCAGACACGATGTCCGAGTGCGGAAAGGCCCCAAGAAGGTCTCACTGCTAAGGATCCACACAGCCTCCTCCGCCCCGGCACCTGCTGTGGTACAGACCTCCCTTCCCCAGGGAACGAGCTTTGCTCCTGCCTCTGCTCACACACTGGGGCGGCTGACCACAGGCCAAGCCTGAGCTGTCAGAAAATCGTGCAAAGATAAAGCAGGAGCAGCCCCGTCTGTGAAGGTTCAGGTTCGAGGCCGGTACCTAAACTAGGGTGCGGTTCCCTCCCTGGCAGGGCTGGGGTCCTCCAGAGAGCTGTGACAGCCAGGACTCAGCAGTTAAGCAAACACCTGCTCTATCTGTTGAAAAGAACTTCTTAGTTTTGCCTCATTAAATTAAGTAAACTCAACAACAGAGTCATAAAGACTAATGCTTGGAAACACGACCAGACAGGGAGCCGGTATCGGCCTAGTGTCAGTGCCGGGCCCGGTGAGGGAGAGGAGGGCGCACGCAGGGGTGAAGGCAGCCCGCCCAGCTTGCTGCGGGATAGACGCACAGGCACAGCGACTCTGTTCGCGCTTTGTCAACAGCCTGTGTCAACATTACCTCCTCGTTCACGTGAAGCCCCAGGCTTTTTGCATGTTCTCTGTCATCTCGGTGCAACTTCTGATTGTAGCCTGGGCTCTTGTCAAAAATACAGTCATACAGGGAAATGATTCCTGTCTGGGGACAAAAAGAGAAAGAAAGGAACGGGTCTACTGGAGGACTGGGCCACAGAAGCGCTCCGGGACACCGGCAGCCAGGCCTCTCCCCCGATGGACGGTGGAGACGTGCAGTTTCCCATCTGCACTGAGCATGTGCTTGGGAAGGTCACCCCAGAGCACCCTCCACGACCAGAGCAGGAGGCCAAGGCCCCCCGCCAGCGAAGCAGGTCCCCCAGAGGCCCAGTGAGGCGGGGACATCTCCGTGGCTCTTTTCCTACACCTCCTACAGATCCCTCCTTGACCTTGACCCAGGCGCACAGCCTTAAAGTAACAGTGACCCACTCAATATGTGTCTTCTCCTCATCGCCACCCTTCTCATAGTTCTCAGATTTCCTCAATAAGCTTGCACTGCGTTAAAAACTTAACCATAGCCAAACACTGGACAATACAATTAAACAGAAATATCCCTAAGTTCCTAGCCAACAGGTGGGCACCTAGTACAAATCTGTCTCCGGAGAGATGGAAATATTTTCTTTAATCAGATGTGGTAGCTCTTATGAATGTAATTCATGAATGCATGACTATATTTATTTTCTATATGATATATACATATGTATAGTATTTGCACACGTATCAGGCGTATGTATACAACGCGCGTGCACACACAGCTTTGATGCATTAGAAAAGGATCCCGTTTCATTCGTCCACCGTTCCATCTCAGGTTTCTCTTCGTACAAAAATCCGTCTGCCTCACTTGGGACCTGATAAAAGAGAAAGAGATCCACGTGTCAGCTCGTCTTTGATCCTGACCCGCAAGTCAGGCCTGTCCTTTCTGCTCCCGAGTCGAGGGCCAGGTGCCTTGAACCCTCCAGCAGCAAACCCAGGCACGCCATGCCACCGGCATTTGGGGGTACAGGGTAGCTCACCTGTGCTCACTCGCTCGCTCTCCCCGGGAGCGACGCTAGGAGCAACGTCCGAGTGCAGGACTCGGAAGCAGAAGGTAAACAGCGCCAGGGACGCACAACATGTGCTTAGTCTGTTGGAAGGCACGGGCAGCCCGCTCTCGCCGGCTGGGACTCAGAGTAGCTGGTAGCAATGGAAGTGACCGCATGTCATTTCCCACCCTGACACCTCCCTCACAGGTCCCGTCCCGTGCACACGCACCGCTCCTGCCCGGGAGGTGGAAAGCTCAGGCACGTGGCCACCGTCCTGGTGCAGTGAACCATCTAGTACGGAAAACAAGGCAAGCTTTCAGGATTATTGTCTTAGGTTCCTAAGAATTCCAATGGCGACAAGCCTGAGGCACGTATTCAGCGGCTGCTGGAATCCTGGCTTATAAGTGCAGACTCACTCTGAGCCACTTGGGGGCAGGGCGCCTGGCTTGTGGAGTCTGAGCCCCGGTGGTCATTTAATGAGGTCACCATGCAGGAGCTTCTTGTTGGCATCGTCTTCTGTCACCTGTGGGCCCCTGGGTCTGTCCACGCACTGGGTTGGCTGGCCTTGGCCTTCACTTGTCCTGAGGGCCGCCTTATGGGATAGCTCATCTACCCAGGGTCCGAAAAACAAAAAGCCCAATTCACTGGGGAGGTGCTACATTCTTCAGCATTTGCTGTTGCAAAACTTGGCTAGCTGTTTGGGAAGAACAATAAACTTGGATCTTCACATCGCATTAGAGTCAAAAGTAAATTCTGGACGGGTTAGAAAAATATGGGAAGAGAAAATCCATAAGGGACTTCCTACGCGTCAAAGCATTGGGGAAAATGTCACAAAGAAAATATCAATCCACCTGGGTTATATAAAAATCAGACATTTGATAATCAAATAAAATCAAGACTTAAAAAAAAAAAAAAAAACCCGTAGGAAGGATAGAGAAATCTCAGTATCTTTAACATGCAGTGTAGGATGTCTGCAGAAGGAGACACTGACGGCTGGGAGCTGGCTTCTAGCCTGGAGATGGTGAGCAAGCTTTGCAGCATTTTTAGGGAAGCCACCAGGCCAGAGGGCTCTGCAGTGACACAGGAGAGGCTCAGGTACACCACACGCTCTGCCAGGATGGCGGGACGTGAATCCCCCAAAGGGGCATTCTGGCCTCTGCAAGGGGAGGCACCTCCATGCAGACCCTTTCTTTTGGGGTTCAGAGCTACTGGCCAGGTCTGGCTGAGGCCAGAAGGCCGACCTGGACAGTGACTGAATGCCCCATCACCCCCACAGCACCCCTTTCCACACAGGAACTGGGGCTGGGATCGTGGTCATGATGTGGCTGTCACATTGTCGCCCGAATCCCGCCTGGCCTGGCGGACCCCGTGCATTGGGTGTGTTTCAGGGACGGCAGCTCCGGTCTGTAACAGAAACACCTGCCGCCCGGACTGAGCGCCTGGGCGGCAGCTGCACCCTCAGATCTCTGGGCCACGGTCTGCACCCACGATCTCTGGTCCATCAGTTCCCACCCGGCTCCATGTGGGTGACCAGCAGCCCCCAGGCCTGAGGGACAGCCCTGCCAGCAGGGGCCAGGGGGAACAGGGGCTCCTCCGGGACCTACTGGCTCGCGCTGTCCTCCTGTGCAGGCGGTTCCCATGCAGGCCTGACCCTCCCGAACGGAGTCAGCCCCCTGGAGGTCCTGGACGTGTCCTGGGAGCCGGACTCCGAGGACAGAAGAATGAACACCGGAAGTGAGTGAGAAAGCGATCAGTGCTTCCTGAATGAGGGAGGCAAGGTTGCCTCACTTTGTTCCCTGCGCTGGGGAAGCCCCCTGTGGCGAGCTGTCCACATTCTCAGCTCCCCGGAAATACTCCACACAAGCAGCGCTCGGAGAAGCCATGTGCCTCAGTTCCCCTGAGTTGCTCACCAGAATCCTGTCTTGCCGTATGTTAGAGCAGTCTGTGTGAGGGCTCCCTGCACCCATGGGGTGTGATCGGAGTCTCTCTTTCTCTCCTTTGCAGCGATTTTTGCCTACTTACTACTTTCTAGAGTAAAAATGAATTGTTCTATCACCGAAAAATAAGGGGGAGAAATCGACCGGCAGGCAGGCAGCCTCACTGAGCAACGTGACTGTCCGTCGTCAACCTCTCATCAAACTGAAAATCTGTCTTTTGCTAAATTTTAATTATTCATCTTTCTTCTTTCCTTTTGTCTGTCATTCCTTTACGGTTGGAAGCAAAATGGCACGAATAAAAGCCAGTCTGGATTTAGATGCTATCACAAAACAGAGCTTCTGGGTTTACTATTATTTTGCTATTAAAATCTCTCAAGAGATTTCCTCTCTCAAGCATGATGTTGAGCAAACGAGCCCATTTGCTGCCTCTCTGGTAATCTCCCTTTGCCCCTTTGCATTTTGAGGGTTGTTAAAACGTAGTATGATCTCATTCTGGTTGTGCTGTCTGATGGCTTGCCTTTGGTCCCCTCCCACCCCATTGGCCCCTGCTCTACACTGCTAAATACTGCCATGTAGCCCTGGGCTGTGTGTGCATATGGGAGGCCCGACTTTCGTAAAATGCGACCTCAAAGCACATCACTCTAACTATTGTGTCAGGCACCCAGCGAGGCTCTAGGACAGGAATAGGGAGTCCCTACCTTGGAGGAGACCACAGGCTGAGAATGGAAATAAACTCATTAATTAAACAACAGCAGGTGATACACAGGGAGCACAGAGGGGCGCCCAAAGTACAGCGGCACCAGCCAGGAAGGATCGGCTCCCGCCTGGGATCACGCGGGATGGGGACGTTGCTGAACTCATCGTAGGGGGCGCTGCACCACTGTGGCCGGAGTCCCAGGGCAGCCACCTCCCTGGGTGCTGTGGGTTGAATTCCCCCAAAATTCCTATGTTGAAGTCCTGAGTCCCAGGATCTCAGAAGGTGATTTAGAAATCAGGACGCCGAAAATGTAATTAGTTAAGACGTGGTCATACCTAATCCAACAGCACTGGTGTCCTTATAAAAGAAGCTCAGAAACAGACACTGATACACAGGGAGAGAGAAGATGACAGAGGAGACACAGGGAGGAGATGGCCATCTACAGACGAATGAGAGTGGCCTGGAACAGACTCTCCCTCATGACCTTAGAAGGGGCCAACCTTGCCGCCACACTGATTTGGACTCCTGGCCTCCGGAACTGGGAGACGATAAATTTCTGTGGCTCAAGCCCCTGGTCTGTGGCACTTTGTTATAGCAGCTCCAACACCCATCCTTGGTGGTCATGTTTTGAACAATGGAAGGTAAGAATGGAGATAAAACAAAGGGCACTGCAGTGGGGCCGGAGACCCAATCCCAGAGCGCTGAGCTCCAGGTAAACTGAGTCGGTAAACCACTCAACCCAGACAACCGGCTTGGTAGCCATCACCAATGGCTCTATTCTGCTCTGCTCCTGACTCCGCAGAGGATGAATCTCTGCTCCTTTGGGCGAGTTAAGCCATGTGACCAGATCTAAGCAATGAACTATGAGCGGGGGGTCACATGGGACTTCTCAGGCAGAAGCTTTTGGGGATTCTGGAAGCTTCCACAGCAGTTGCTGAGTGACTATCCTGGGCAGAGCCATCCCTCTGATCCCCGTTGGACATTTAACATGAGAAGTGAGTCTTACTTAGGACATTGAGACTTTGGAGGCTGTTGTTTACGTTTCTCATGACTACCACAAGCAGTCCTGGCCTACAGTCTACAAGGGCACATCTCCCCGGTTGTGCGCTTCTGGGGTTCCCCGTGCCTCCTACCAGACACTACACGCGCTCTGCCACAAATAACTGGGGTAAGATTCCCAGCAAATGGGGACCCGAATCCTTTCTTTTCTCCTCCCTTTCAGACCATTCAAATATAAACGGACTCTCCATTGTTGGTTCAAGCCAGGTAAATTCTGCAAGAAAGAAAGAACTAAGAGAAAGGAAATCAATACATTTCCAAATGGCACTCAGGCAGGGGTAATATTATGTGCTCACCAAACACATGGCCTCTTCCAGAATAAACAGAAGACTGCAGTGGCCAGTTTCCATCCCACTTACTAGTTCTGGCAAGAATTGTGGGTGAAGCCAATGGGCATCACCTTCTAGGCTTGGTCCATAAAAGCTCTCGTGTGTGTCCTCCATGCTGTCTCTCCATGCTCTTTGGCCAGCAAGTTCAAAGGATCCAGTAAAGGACCGCAAGATCCCAAAGATCCCCAGGCCCTGGCAACAGTGGAACCACTAAAAAGGAGGAATCTGGTTCCCCAGTTACTGTATTAAGCAAGCTGGGGGGTGCCTGGGTGGCTCAGTCGGTTGGGCATCTGACTTTGGCTCAGGTCATTATCTTGAAGTTTGAGCCCGTGGCGGGCTCTGTGCTGACAGCTCAGGGCCTGGAGCCTGCTTCAGATCCTGTGTCTCCCTCTCTCTCTGCCCCTCCCACTTGTGCTCGGTCTCTCTTTCTCAAAAAAATACATTAAAAAAATATTTAAAAAAAAAAAAGAAAGCTGGGCTGGGGCATCTGGGTGGTTCAGCAGGTTAAGCGTCCGACTTCGGCTCAGGTCAAGATCTCATGGCTCATGAGTTCGAGCCCCGCATCGGGCTCTGTGCTGACAACTCAGAGCCTGGAGCCTGCTTCAGATTCTGTCTCCCTCTCTCTCTGTCCCGCTTGCACTCTGTCTCTCTCTCTCAAAAATAAATAAAACATTAAAAAAAATTTTTTTTTAAAAAGAAGAAGAAGAATTAGAAGTCCAGGCAGGAGAAACACACACATTGGGCTACATGTGAAAAAGAAACACACTTTTCGTTATGTGTTATATGCATAAGGCCAGTGGTGGGCTTAGGTTAACCAGCCACTCTCTGGACAAAAAAGACCCAGTGTGGCATTTGCCAATTCCTGCAGTCTAAGCATTCTCACCGTGGCCAATTTCAGGCTTCCAACTGAATGCAGAGTTCAGACGAAATGCTACAAATTGGCTCTTTGTTGTGAGCATGAGCAGACTGCGATATAGGACACACGGGTGGTTAAGGCTCTCGGGGTTCAAGGTCCATTTGTTCCCAGAGCACAGCCCAGCCCACCTTGACTAAAACAGTAATCAAGCTATGATCAGGCTTGTTCGTTTCCTCTCTTCGGGGGCACGGTACTGTTACCTCTCCTCTTGAGGCTTCCAGTCACTGTTTGCCTACCCAGAGCTGTGCGACCTCCTCGTAAAAACAGAAATTCCCAAGGCGATCCAAAGGGTTTCCTTTGATTCATAAGGGCCTCATTTTACTTCTGATAAGTCCAGTGCTTGTCCTTGGGAG